CATCCGAATTTCGATTCGGAACGAAACGAATCGCACATGTCTAGTCTGTGAAGGCTCTCATTCATCCAGGTCATAGTATATCTGTAAAAAATGAGTCAAGGCAACTGGACTTGCTGTATTTTTCTTGAAGACGTTTGACTGGACATCCGACCAGCTTTCTCAATTCAGAATGTTGCCTTGACTTATTTTTTACAGATGAATGACCCGAAGCAAACACAAAGGCAGCAAAATCCAAATCCAAAAAGTCTTAACGCCCAGTCTACATTATTCCAGGTCATTGACTCACTAAGTATTGCATCCAGGATCAGGGAACCTGCATGTTTATATAAAGGCATGTTATTTTTATGTGTACTTATATTTAAAGTGTACCTGTGGCTTGGTGTTAATGGTAGGCTGGCTGGCTGTCTATCGGGATAGAAGGCTTCTCTATGCACCTGCACATGTTTTTCAGCTTCTTTGAAGAACATCCCACTCAGTAAAATAAGAAAGTGTTATAACTCTCTGTGCTTTCCAGTCCCTATGCCAACTGTTCCCCCCATTTATTGTATTAGCATCATAGGGACAGGAAGTTATTATTATTATTATTATACAGGATTTATATAGCGCCAACAGTTTGTGCAGCGCTTTACAATACAAGGAAGACATCACAATACAATTCAAGACAAGATGGTAAGGAGGGCCCTGCCCCTGAGGGCTTAAAATCTAAAAGAGGAGGGGAAAGTGATACATGAGGAGGTAGCTGTGTGGGGAAGTGATAGAAAATCTTTTGAATGGGGTCTCATTGCATTGGTAGGGGAGCATGTCCAAGGTGAGTATCAGTGGGTGAGGGACACTTTGGCCAGAGTAGCAAAAGAACCCCTTCCCATACCGACGGTAAAAACTTATTTCACCCATATACAACAGATGTCCCCTTGGCCTATGCACGGGGCAGAATGATCAAACCTGGGACATGTTTGGTAGATAGGTAGACTTTTTTGGAGAAAGATAATAGAAGAGTGTAGAGAACTCTAGACAATATTCTCTCCTAGCAGAAATAGAAGTTGGAAAGTTTGCTCTTCTGCTCTGTTAACACCGGGAGGGGGCTGCTGAGTGTTGCAATTTGCGGAGCGCGTTTCATCCGCCTGCCTCTGTTACATAAAAACCTCGCCATCTCCCTTTGATGCCTCTCCTGACTGCTGGGACGCTGGCTGGCAGCCTTTACAAATGCTCACATGTGAAGCATCGCGGTTTAAAAAGGAATATTTTAAACCTGGGTTCATTAAAAGTTCACATTCCGATATATCACCGATGTGAGTGACATCTCGTTCTCACATAAAAAGACAATTTCAACCCATTAAACCGGAGCATAAGAAGATCAGACTGAGCCCCACTCTTTACTTATGGATGGAGACAGCTTACAAAGGCATCATTCCGCAGTCAATATGTAATATACAGTATGTGAAGTCAAAAGTGCATAATGGCTGCTAATGCAAAGGCCTACAGACTTCTCTATAAGCCGCATTGAAAGGGAGATGTGGAATTTGTAATTAGTTTTATTTTAGATGTGATAGCATGTTATTGGTGTCACTTCAAAGTGATCGTGTATATTGTCTATTTGGGGCAAAAAAACAGGTCACTTAAAGTAGAATTTTACTGCTTCTGGAGTGGGGGGCTATTACGTATGTGCGTACTATGGCACACTTATCCTCAATATGGCGTTTCCACTTTTTTTTCACTCACAGCACACTTTAAAAGTATGCAAAATTTCGAGGCACCCCAGTCTAAAATTAGGAAAATCAAACACATGGTCCATACAAGATTCGTAGTGCACCCTTATCTAACATAGGGGTCTGGTATGGATTTTAAGAAGAGACTCCACTCAAAAACACAAAAAAATGTGGTTCCCCCTTCACGTCAGAGTCCCCCCTGTCACATTAGGAGCCCCCTACTTTCATATCAGAGTAACCCCCTCTCACACTAGGAGCCCTTCTTCACACGAAAAGCCCCCTACTTTCAAATCAGAGTCTCCCCTTCAATTCAGGGCCCTTCCTTAACGTCAGTCTTGCAATCACATCACAAACCTTGTTCACATCAGAGCCCCCCTTCACATCAAAACCCTTTTCACATCAGAAGTCTCCCCTCTCACATCAGGAGTTACCTTTACATCAGGGGCCCTCTTCACATCAGGGTCCCCCATTTCCCCATTTACATCAGAAGCCCTCTTCACATCACAAGCCTCCCCTTCACCTCAGAGACCCACCTTTACGTTAAAAGCCCTCTATACATCATAAGCCTTTCCTCTCACATGAAGAGACCCCTTTACAACAGGAGCCATCTTCACATTAGAGTCCCCCCTCTAGCATCAGGAGCCCCCTTTACATCAGGAGCCCTCTTTACATCAGGAGCCCTCTTTACATCAGAGGCCCCATTTCTTATCATGAACTCTTTTCATATCAGAAACCTCCCCTCTCACATCAGGAGTCCCATTTACATCAAGAGTCCCCTTTACATCAGGAGCCTTCTTTGCATTAGGAGCCCCCCTTTCACATCAGAACCCACCTTTCATATCAGATCCCCCCTCCCCTTTCACAATCGAGTTCCCTCTTCCCATTAGGAGCTCCCATCACATCAAAGTCTTATCAACACATCAGGAACCACAGCTGTGGCACCAGAATGTGGAGCAGGCCTGGATGGGGGCGAACTTCTATCCTTTTCTGAATGGATTCCACCCTCCCTGGATTGGCATTATTTGATTTGCACCATGAAAAGGCATGACACTGTGTGAAAATTTAAAACCACCCCTGAGAAAGCCAGAAGGCACCCTGGTTGAAAAAAGCTATTCTAGTATGCCCTACTTTAGTGATAAAACATCCACACTCCTCACTTCACTCAATCCCGCTGATGACTTCTTCTCTTGGTCTGCTTTCGGGTCTGGCATCTTACATATCGGCCATTAGACAGCCACTGATAATGTACTTCCCGAGCATGGCAACTGAAGTAACATGGTCCCCAACACCCAACTGCATTTCCGCAAATGAGCTGGAGTGTACACTGGATTGTGTAGGTAGCATACTTCTAGGAGCAAGAGGAAGGTTTTGTGACACTTTGCATGCCCCAAAATTCTTCTAAACCTCCTAGAAGTTATTTTTACTTTAGTCTGTTTTTATAACCCCTCCCAAGTCAAGTCAAGACAAGAAACCCTGTTGGCCTGGTCAGAGCTTTTACATGGGAACCTCCTACCACATCCCCATGACAGTGCGTAGGCAACCAGTTCTGCATCGTAGTAGAAAGGTAATAGTAACATGTTCCTCTGAATCAAAAATTACCAGGTTGCTTTGCCCTGAACCTTGAAGTAGGTAGTTCTCAAAATGACACAACAACACACAAAGCACACCTCAACATTTTGCCTCTGCGAGAATGTGCCCTTCCATTGTTTTTTAAGAATGTTGGCAATAATGCTCTTGCACCCAGAGTAATATGAGTTCTCCCCAGAAGGGACACAACAACAAAACTTGAAAGGGCTGTAATCTATCGGGGGGGTCCAATTGGCAGAAGCTGTCACTTGCTCTGAATGGACAAAGTGATGGATTCTCTTTATATAAAGTCTGCTGATCACACACAGCTGTCCACCAACTAAAAGCCAATTATTATCACAGCACTTGACCAACAGGCTTGCACCTGCAAAATTAGGACATCAAAGTTATACACAAGTATAAGGTCTCTTGCATTGGCAGCAGGATCAGGCTCTGGAGTCATCCTTATTGCTGCTACACTGCTTAATGTATCACAGACCCAGAACAAGTTTTGTGTTGTTGGTTCTCTTGCTTTGAATTGCTTGCATGTCAGTAACCCTGGAAGGATAAAGATGACAACCATGGGGCTTGCACTTGCAAAATCAGGACATCATCGACTTCCTTTTAGAGGTTCCATGGACTTTTCCCGGGACAAACCTACCTAAACCAGGACCGATGGTGAGAAATCTGGGACAGCTAGGTTGGCCTCTTAATTGGCATGGCTTGTCTGTAGTCATTTCGCCTTTTAAATAAGCATGCCATTTGTAAGTCCATGGTTTAGGGTCATCCTCATCCTTGTTTTGCTGCTTAGTGCATCGGTTTTTTTATTGTTGGTTCTCTTGATCTGCATTGCTTGCATGTCAGTGACTCTCCTATTAGTGATGGAGGGATTAAGAGGACAGCTACAAGCATGCACCTACACAATCTGGAAATCATTGGTTTCCTTTTATCGGTTTCCAGGACTTTTCCAGGGACAAACCTACCTAAACCAGGACCAATGGTGGGAAATGTGGAACAGCTTTTACTGTAATAGGTCGGCCTCCAAATTGGCCTGGCATGTTTGTCCCCAGCACACTGTATAAACAGGTATGAGGTGCCTTACATTTACAGGACTCTGGTGCTCCCGGGTCATCCCTATCCTTGCTTTGCTGCTTAGTGCACCACAGACCAGCACAAGTGTTTTATTGTTGGTTCTCTTGATTTGCATTGCTTGTATGTCAGTGACTCTCCAATTAGTGATGGAAGGATGAAGATGACACAATGGGGCATGCACCTGCAAAATCAACGCCATAACAATGTGGTCTTATCGGTTCCCAGGACTTTTCCAAGGACAGATCTACCTAAGGCAGGACCAATGGAGCAGCCTGTTGCTTGGCATGGTGTGCACAGGTACAAGGTGCCTCCAGATGCAGCGCTGGGAGGAGTAGAAGGCTGCGCTGGACCAGTGATGCTGGCACTCTGGGCAGGGATGTGGGAGGAGGACATCGCTGGCTGTCAGTGTGAGTGACTGGTGCCATCTGGGGCACGGCTGGGAGATGTGTGCACACTGAGAGTGGCAGCAGCGCACGCCCCCTCCTCTGGATCTATTCCTGGCACAGGGGATGGAGGGGGCGCCCAGGTGAGCCGGCTGGGTGGGCAGCAGGACATGTAGAGCCCGAGCATCCTCATCGCCATCTTCACCCCCCTCCCTCTGTGTGCACACGGTGACCCGATGCCTTCCCTGCACAGGAGCCGAGAAGATGCCAGCTGGAGGGTCCCGGACACCGAGGTGGGTGCTGCACATACCCGGGGATCGGGGCTGCCCGGGGGAGAGACGGAGATACTGCAGTGCAGTACAAGTCATCATCCGATGATGTCATCCCCAGCCTGGGGGACAGAGGAGCTCAGCAACTGGGGGGGGCTCTGTGATACCAGTACTGTCACTGGAGGGGATGTGTGATACCAGTAGGTCACTGGGGGGGGGGGGGGGGG